GACGTTCTGACGAACGTTTTTCGGCTTTCAGAGGTTTTTATTATAATTATTAGGCCGACGAAAATTTCCCAAACTATAATGTTTCAACGAAACACCGGATAGTTAAAGGGAGTGCGTCTAGTCAAGTTAGGATTTTTGACTGTGCACGTAGGATGATAGGGAATGTTGATTTACAAATTTTGGTGGCAATGGGTTCTACAAATTCGTCTCCACTGACGAAATATAGCTACAGCTCCAAATTTTCTTTGGGTTGTAGGCAATAACGATGTCATCGGGTAGCCCCAAGCAACAGACACTGCTTAACACATCGACATCATTGAGCAGGTATCGTTAGTTCTAGTCAGTTCTAGCAACCAAAGTAATGGCCATGTCTCTGGCGCGCGGTTACTCGCCACATTTAAGTCAGTGCGTTCGTCCCTTCCTGCCCGCTGATTGGTTTGTCTTTTAGGATTGTATTTGCTCACGCACAGGCATCGACGGGATCGATAAAAATGAATAGATAAAGAATGTTGCAAGACCCAAATACGCATTAAGCAACCAAAATTAGCTATGTATAATTGCCAAACTTTCCTTACGCGTATAGTGAGAAAATCAAAAACATTAGGCACGCTTCTTTAAAAAACCCAGGCCTCAGTTCTATGACTAAGAGACGAACCCATCCCTCACACACAGTATTCAGGCGGCATCGGAGGGGTGGCGTGAATAATTTGCTAACCGGGTGATCTATTTTTTTGTTCTGAGACGTCATCATAGGAGTGCTTTGCACGCAGATAGTCGATGCTGCGTCACTGACGCCTAGTACTTCTTACGTGCGTGTTTTTATCAAGCAAGTTTATGTTCCCAGCATAAACGTGCTTAAGATTGTCTGATATAAATTTTTTACTTCACTCTACGCATGCAAACCCTTTGCCTAGTAGCTTTTGCCTCCCCTTCAACGTTTTGTCATACCAAATATTTTGCAAGCGTTCTTTAAACCATACAAACATATCCTTACGAGATCTTTGGTAATAGCCTTGTCGCACGTTCTTTTACCATATGCGTTTTTCATCATGCGTATTGCGCACATTTGTTGGGAGAAATCTGTGTATGAATTTGCTAAATCCGCAAGTCCTTTTTCCAAGACCCTTTTTGCCCTAAAATCCTTGTTTTGGCGGTGAACGATAGCATGCTTCCAACGTTAGTGTTGCCTGCAGCAGCAGCACGGCACCGGCGATCAGTGCCTGCTAGCTCGTACTGTTGTGGCTTAATTCGAAACTACTGCACTTAAGCCGTGATTTTAACCCGGAGCTCAGTGGCGATGCCTTATGCATGCATGCTATTGAGTATGGGGATTTCCACATAAACAAGGCATGTTCCTTGCGCCGGACCACGAGAGCGGCGAACGGTGCCGCTCATTAACACCACACCGGCGACGCCGGCAGTCCACCTGTCCAGGCCGCCCTCCCACCCAATGCGCCCCGCTGTGCCTGACACCGCCGGACCTTGGCCCTCGCTTCTGCCGCGCTGACCCATCCCCTGCCGCTTCCTGTTCACAGGAGCGACGGAAGTTGTCAAGAATTGGGGGGGGGGGGGGCAAAAGCATTTGAAGTATCTCATTCCATGTACCGTCGCAAGCGTAGTGCTAAATTATCTCAGTCGTTGGGGGATGAACTCGATCCCCTAAGCCCTCCTCCAAATAACGCGATCGTTCCCTCGCCCATGCTTGGTAACATTTGTCCCCGCCGCTCCAGCGTCACGTTCGTCAAGTTAGATCGATATTACACATTCACATTCGCGTGTCACATTCTATCTACTCACCAATTACAATGAAATGTAGCTCACAGATAGAGCCAATTATGCCATTGACGAATATACCAGCCACTAAGTGACATTCAAAAACAAAGGAGTTATTAAGGATCAAAGTTTACGGTCGTTCAAGGTCATTGCTTAGTAAACCTTCCTGCACTCGAAAGATTTCGACCAAATTTGGTTTTGCTGATAGAACAAAGCATTCCAATTAATAAAATCACATTTTCCAAATGTGACATTTAACACCACGCCCGCAGAAAAACATAGAAGTTCGAGGTCACCCTAAATCGGACACTTTTGATGGCTTTGAAACTTGGCATAAACATTCATATCACGCCACTCCACCTAGCCTCCAAATATTAGATTGCAACACTCAGATGTTCGCCTTCCAGAGCCATTCAAATCTTGAAACTGACAGCCTCGCACGTGTTAACATATATGCATTTCATGTCACTAAAATGGCAGAGAGACTCCTTCTATCACCTTGAAATCTTGCACATATATGCACTATGTACGTATACAGTTTTTCATGAAGTGGCAATTTGTGACAGTTCCATTCACGCATTCCACAGACGCTCAAACAGTGGGATATATGACATATCTCTAAAACAACGTAAACAGCGTCGTAATATTTCACCAAGACCAGGGAATGCTTAACAATGCATCTCATATCATATAATTAGCCGTTACCTTTCATATGATGCGCCATATGACGGTACGGCATGTAAAATGTGACGTACAAATCAAAAATGTCACATTCGATGTTGGTTTTCACACATTCGCGAACTCCTCTGATTGCTTTGAAATTCGCCCCCAATAATTATCTCACATGGCTTCACCTAGCCACCAAATCTTATAGTATGACATTAAAACTTCGTCTTCTACGGACATTCAAACCTTGCGAATGACAGCTTCGAACGTGTTAACATATACAGATTGCGTGGCAGCTAAATGGACGAGAGACTCCTTCGACCACCTTGGCCAACTTTCCTGGTCTTTGTGGCACCCTACGACGCTGTTTGTGTCGTTTTAGTGATATATCCCATTATTTGACAGCCTCTGGAATGTATGAATTCAAATGTCGCAAATTTCCACTTGGCAAAAACTGTATACATACATGGCACACATTTTTGCCAAATTTCAAGGTGATCGAAGGAGTCCCCTGTTCATCTAGCTGACATGCAATGTATATATGCTAACACGTGCGAAGCTATCATTTCCAAGATTTTAATGCTTCTGGAATGCGTGAATGTAGGTTTCACAGATCTCCACTTGGTGAAAAACTGTGGGTATACACATTATATGTAACTGTATATTATATAATATATAACTGTATATTGCATGTAAATATATATGTAACTGTATATGGTACACATTTGTCCCAAATTTAAAGGTGATTGAAGGAGTCTCTCGTCCATTTAGCTGCTACGCAATCTGTATATGTTAACACGTTCGAAACTGTCATTTTCAAGATTTGAATGCCTCTGGAAGGCGAAAGTTTGAACGTCATACTATAAAATTTGGTGGATAGGTGGAACCATGTAAGGTGAATATTTGTGGCGAATTTCAAAGGAATCAGAGGAGTCCGCCAATGTGTGAAACCCGACATCGAATGTGACATCTTTGATTTGTACGTCACATTGTGCGTGCCGTATCGTCATATGGCACATCATATGAGGGGCAACGGCTAATTACATGATAGGAGATGCATTGTTAGGCATTCCTTGGTCTTGGTGGCATATTACGACGCTGTCTGTGTCGTTCTAGAGATGCGTCATATATTCTGTTGTTTGAGAGCCTCTGGAATGCGTTAACTCAAATGTCACAAATTTTCACTTAATGAAAAACTGTATACGTACATGGTACACATTTTTGCCAAATTTCAAGGTGATCGAAGAAGTCTCTCGTCCAATTAGTTCACATACCATGTGTATATGTTAATACGTACGAGGCTGTCATTTTCAAGTTTTGAATGCCTCTGGAAGGCGAGCGTTTGAATTTCATACTATAATATCTGGCGGCTAGGTAGAGCAAGGCGATGTGAATGCTTGTGCCGAATTTGAAAGCAATCGAAAGCGTCCGATTTTGAGTGACCTTGAACTTCTATGGTTTTTGACGGGCGTGATTTTAAATGTCACATTTGGAAAATGTGACTTTATCAATTGGAATGCTTTGTTTTATCAATAAACAAAATTTCGTTAAAATCTGTCGAGTCCAGGAAGGTTCACTTAGCAATCGCCTCGAATGACATTGAATGTTAATCTTTAATAACTCGTTCGTTTTTGGATGTCACACTTGATGACTTGTATATTTATCAATGGCATAATTAGCTCTATCTGTGAGCTAAGTTCACTTGTAATTGGTGAATAGATGGAATGTGACACGCGAATGTGAATGTGTAATATCGTTCTAGCTTGACAAACGGGCCAGCGTTCTCGTCATTATGATGGCGGCTGGCGGCCGGGGGGGGGGGGGGGGGGGCGTCGGGCCCGTTCCGGTGCGCACCTCGGGAAGGGTGGCCGCATTCCCCAGACAGGTTGGCACGTAGGGAGGACGGACCCTGGAAGTGTTTTCGTTCGCGTGCTGGGCGCACCGGTGCGTTGTGCGAAATCATTTCCGTTTGGTGCATTGTGCCTTCGTGTGGCAGGATTCCTTTTTATTGATTTGGTGTGTTTGATACGACCGGTGCACTCGCAGGGCTGTGCTGCGCCGTGCAGGGTGCCGTGCACTCATGTTGAATAGAGGGCGAAAATCCCTCCAGTGTTATGCATCCCTTCCCACCCAGTGGCGTGGAAAACCCCAACCCTAGTTAAAGAACCTTAATTAAATGAACTCCTTTCCCGCCATGGTGTAGTGTCATGTGAGGCTCATTGTGTATGGATAGGAAATGTCTCCCCCCCCCCCCCACCCACGCTCATTGGAAAGGTCTTAGACGAGGCCCTGGGCCTGCATGACTTCTTTCATATGCGACAATACATTTGCGACATCTCATCGGCCGTTTCTCCTGATGTGCTTGCTTGCAATACGCGAGCGACGTGCTATTGGTATTTTTCAGTTTACGCCCCTTTTGCGTGTTTTTCCGGCAGGATGAGGTTCGCTGCTGTGGATTTCGAGGGGAAGGGATGAGTATCAGCCCCAGCCTTTGGTCAGATGAAGAAATGCTTTACTCTTGTATTCCTGAGATGTTGCTGAGAACTGCGGCTGCCCTTCTATGGAACGCTGCTTGAGGACTGCTCCTGGTCAGCCGGAAGCAGTATGTCTGCCAGCCAGCTGGCACAGCAGTCAGACGCTTCCGTCAAAGACAACTGGTGCTGTTCCAGAATCGTCATGCTTAGGAAAGCAGGTATTGTATCATATTGGTTTGTTGTGTTCAGCTCGCACTTAACGTACATTTCTGCCGAAATTTACAGCGAGGATTTCCTTACCACGATTATTGGTAATTCCACAACATTAACATGACGAAGACAACCCCATTTTATATATTTCATTTCTCTGAACACCTTCGCGGGCGAATATTAGCAAACCAAGTTTTGGAATCGTGACTTAGGAAAGAAGTGGCAGAATTGTTTTTTGAAAGTGGGCTGGCAGTGTTTTTGGGGAGCTTGCTGTTTTATTATTTATTTCAGACATTCTTAACAAGTGCAGCTATTAATCATCGACGACTGCTTTCATTGCTATCAGCCGCAGGCCATCCATTGTAGGAGCAAAGAGGGAGTGCCTAAAACGACCCAAACTCATCCTTTAGTGAGTGGATTGGAAAGTAGCCACTCTAAAAATGATCTATTGGTACAATATCACATTCCCATATAGACGTCTGACAGTTACTGCGCTCCAGTCTAGTAATGAAGAGTTTTATTTCGTTATCGTGACCGCAAGAAGATATGACTCGAGCCGTCTTTCATGCAAGTACTCCATGTAAGTGCCCTCTCGTTAAGTTTTTCCATACATGTGCTCCGCAAGAGTGCATGTGTTGTGCATTTCTGGACTGCTGTTCGGCATAGATGTTCTCATTATTTCAACCTCAGTAAACGATCTAACAAAAGGTCGGCTCTTTCAGTATCAAAATCGGTGTACATGAGTAATCACTCACACTCAGGCCGTTGGACACTGATATGAGGCACTGAATATCGCCATTTTCAGGGGCTATCCTGCGCAGCACACTGCGCTGCGGCGTCTCCCGCAACGAAAAGGAATAGGCACCAGTGTAATGTTCGTCATACGCGGTTTGCTCGCGACAGCGGTGTACAAAACAACACAAAGGAAAGTTCACCGGAAGACTGTATTTCGCGTAGGGCTGAGGACGCTGGTGCGCCGTAGTGGTGAACTAATATACAGAAAGGTTAGTATTACGAAATCATCGTTGCTGCACTCGTGTGCACTACATATCCCGACACATTAAGCTGAAGCACGTACGGCACATAAACAAGGAATGACAACAATTTTGACGGCAAATGATACACCGGTTCGCGGGTCTGAGCGGAGCTCGGCAGCGGCCTAGCTGCCTAGCTTTCGCGGCTGGAACCGTCGCCGGCCGAAGGAGGACGGAGGCAGCTCTTTGCCGGCGCCACGCGGTGTGCCCGCCCGGGCTCGAATGGGCGACTGAAGTCCATCTGGAGCAGGGGACCTTGGTGCGACGGGTTGAGCCGCTCGTGAAGCCTCAAGCAGGGGCGAGGTTGGGCGAGCCACTGGTGCTGCGTGCTGAGCCTCGTGCTGGTCCACCAAGGTCGGCGGCGGGCGGACTGTCGGCTCCGGAGGCAGGTGGGTCTCCGTCATGTCGAGTCATGACGTCATGAGTCTCCGTCAGGCGTCACGGCCGGACTGGTTGCGGGTACGGCCGCCAGGTGTGCCGCGCTCCATCGCGTTCCGTCCGACAGGAGAAACGTCGCGCTGCCGACGCGCCGGACCACCGTCTGTGTCGCCCCGAACCGCGACAGGTTCTTGGGCGTGTGTCCAGGTCGACGAACTCGGACCATGTCTCCTGGTCGGATGGTCGATTTCTTCACACCGCGGCGCCTGTTGTAGTTGCGCGCGTTCCGTCGCTGTTGTTTCTGGACGCACGTGCGCATATCAGCGTCTGTCGCGTTGGCCGACATCACCGGCAGGTCGGGGCGCATGCGGCGGCCGTGCAAACTCCCAGAGGGCGGGATGCCGGTGGTGCAGTGTGGCGCTGCGCGGTACAGCTCCAGGCGGCGCTTAATGTGCGCAGCGAAGGCCTGCGCCGTCCGCGACGGTTGCTGGGTGGCCTCCAGCAGCCACGTCTTTAGCGTGCGGTTAAACCGCTCGATGGCTGCATTCCCCCGGGGCCAGTAGAGGGACGATTTCCGGTGATGGATGCCGCGGTCGCTCAGGTACTTCTCGAACTTGGCACTCGTGAACTGGGGGCCGTTGTCGCTCACGACTTCGTCACAGTATCCCTCTCGGGACCACATGGTGCCGAGAAGGCTGATGACGTCATCTGTCTCGGCGGACGGCGTCAGGGCGACCCGCGGCCACTTGCTGGCGTAGTCGATCACGGTGATGGCGTAGCGGGCTGACGGTGGCGCACCTGCAATCGGTCCAACGACGTCGATGCCGAGCTTGGACCAGGCTCGGTCCGGAAGAGGTCCAGGCTCGGTCTCGGTCCGGCTGCAGCGAGGCAGGGCGCGCACTCTGGGAGAGGACGGCCTCCTTGGTCCGGCAGGTCTGGCAGTCGCGGATGAGGTCGGTGATGGCTCGCGTCATGCCGGGCCACCACGCGAGATTTCTGAGCAGCTGTTTCGTGCGCACGATTCCCTCGTGCGATTGGTGGGCCACCTGTAAGTACTTGTCGGTCAGGGCGACCGGTACGACGACACGGTCGGGACCTCGCAGGATAATGTCGTCATCGCGCAGCTGGAGTTCATGACGGACGCCGAAGAACCGGCGGAGCGTCGCCGAGCACCTGCGCGCCGATTCTGGCCAGCCGGTACGGATGGCTTCACGTACTTCCTTCAGTGCTGGATCGGCTTCCGATGCTGCCTGGATCTCGGCGTCGGGAAGCACGTCTGCGGCGGCGTCCGTGACGAGGGCGATGATGTCATCGTCGTCGGGCTCGGCGCCGGCCGTGTCCGGCAGGGGAGCCGGGACAGCGCGTCTGCGACAGGGATGGTGTGTCGCGGTTTGTACTCGACGGAGTACGCGTAGGGCAGTAGGCATGACTGCCACCTGGCGATCCGTGCCCCTGCTCGGTTGGACGACTTCGGCGAGAGCAGGGTCGTGAGTGCCGAGTGATCGGTTTTGAGCTTGAAGAAACGTCCCCAGAGGTAGATCCGCCAGTGCTCGATCGCGTTCACGGCGCTGAGGGCTTCTTTTTCTGAGACGGAGTGTCTGGACTCGGCCTCCGTGAATGACCGCGACCAGTATGCGACTGGGCGCTCCTCACTGCTGTACTGGATCTGCGTGAGGACAGCGCCGGCGCCGCGGTCACTCGCGTCCGAAGTGACGACCGTCGGCAGGTGCGGGTCGAACGGCTGCATGACGGGGCTGGTCGAGGTCAGCTGTTTCACGTTGCTGAAGGCGAGCTGTTGTTCCTGGGTCCACTGGAAGGTCGTGCCTTTCTTGAGGAGGTCGGCCATCGGTCGGACGACCGTGGCGTGCCCTGGCACGAACCGGCTGAACCATCCATTGGTCCCCAGGAAGCTGCGTAGCTCCCTAACGTTGGTGGGAGGCGGCGCCTTAACCACGGCGCGGAAGGTTGACGTTACGGGGACGACCCCGGCGCTGGACAGCTTATGGCCGCAGAACTCGGTGGTGGTCTGCCTGAAGACGGATTTGGCCTGGTTTATGGTGACGTTGGACCGGGCGAGGCTGTCCAGGACCTGTCGGAGGCGGGCGTCGTGTTCCTGATGGTCTTTCCCGGACACGAGGATGTCGTCCGGGTAGTGTCCACAGCCAGGAATACCCTCTAGCAGGCTGCTGAGCAGTTTCTGGAAGGCGCTGCCGCTGGAGACCAGGCCGAATGGGACTCCTGTGTACCTCATGAGGCCGTCAGGCGTCAGGAAGGCACAAGGGAAGGTTCACCGGAAGACTGTATTTCGCGTAGTGCTGAGGACGCTGGTGCGTCGTAGTGGTGAACTAATATACAGAAAGGTCAGCGTTACGAAATCACCGCTGGTGCATTCGCGTACACTACAACCAGGAAAATGGATTCGGCGGGAGAGACTGCGACGACAGCAGGAAACATTGCGCTGACAACGGTGGCAACGGCAACACCTTAAATCTGTTGAATGGTTTAGTGATTGTCGCATCGGGCATGATAACAGGGAAGTGTATGTTCTGCGCAAAGCTGCTGTTGTCGAGGCAATTTCGGTAAAATGCATGGTGAATAAACTTTATCTGGCTTATTATGGATGACATGATGAAGCGGTCTGCCTGGAATCACGGCGGTCAATCAATCAGATGGAATTTGAAATGGCAGATCGGTGAAGCCCAGCTGGGGCCCATCTAGGGTGGCTAAAAAGGTTTCATCTGGGCTAGCTATATGGATCCCATCTTGGCTGGTCACATAGGTCCTGGCTGGACAGGCCCGTATGGGTCCCAACTGAGTTACCCAGGTGGGTCCCAACTGGGCTGCCCAGGTGAGTCATGTTTGTCCCAGCTAAGCGCCATAAGGGCCCACATGGGCTTCCATGTGGGACCCAGTTGGTCGCCCATGACCTCCCCGCATGGGCCCGAGATAGCATACCCAGATGGGCCCTATTCGGTTGCCCATCTCGGACCCACATGTGTCCCGGTTGTAAACGTTGGATGTGCCCCGTGTTTACCCCAGTTAGGCCCCAAATGGGCCCAACAAGGGTCACCCATATGGGACCCAGGTGTTTGCCCATGACATGCCCACATGGGACCGAAATGGACAGCCCAGGTGGGCCCATATGACTGTCCAACTGGTACCCATATGGGTCCCAATTGGACATGCTGGCTGGGATGCTACAGACGTGGCCAGCCGGAACAGAATGGAATGGGACGAGGTCAGACGGGACCGGATGAAACCAGATGGTACCAGATGGGACCGGCACGAGACCTGGTGAGATCGGATGGAACTGGACGAGACCTGGGACTGGATGGGACTGGATGGAGCCCGTCTGGGCCAGGCAGGATAACACGTTACGTGGCGCGATGAGACGGCAAGTGACGTCACCAAAAGGAACGTCACGAGCAGGATGGGACTGCAGGGGTCAGAAGTAATTGCTCATGCCCTCATGCGTGGTTGATGTGTACAATACCAGATTTGAAGTCAAATTGGTGGCGTATCGACATTTCTGGTCTTAAATTGGTTATTTTGTCTCATTTTTTCGGCTGGTGATCACGCTATGTATTTTGGTGAGATCAGTGGCTGTTATGGTTATCTAACTAATTTTGTTCCATTTAGTATCAAACAGGAACCCATGACAACGGATCAGTCAAGTCAGTGCGCAGACGTGGGGGGTGGTCGCCCGGCTGTGATGGAAGGCATATCCTGCAACTGGTAAGTCGGTTTAGGTTTTAAATGCATTCATTTATCAGAATGTACCCTAGCGTTTTTGGGGCACCCATCCAGTGCTGGAGCTGATGCTTATACTTCATTATGTTTTGGAAATGTTAAGATGCTTCTTTCTATCACGGCGTTAAGACATAAAGGCATCCAACCATTACAACACCACAAGGGCCCATCGAGGCTGGTCTGCCTCAGGTTCTGCACACAAGTAATGCAAAACTATCTGCAAAACTAATCTTACCACCTACCCTGGATTTTTGCCTGAATTAATGCCTTGATTTAGCTTTAAATAAGAACTTCAGACCGAAAGATGTTTGTCCACGCGATGTTGGAATGGTGCCAGAGAGTGATTTACTACCACTTTGTTGGTCAGTCCATTCCAGTGATTCATTTCTGTGTGACTAAATAGCATCTGCCTCTTTAAAGTTTTACTCCTATATTTTACCATGAAACTGGTCTCAAGTCTTTGCCTAATTTCCAGTGCTCCATGTAAACCTACCTTGTCTATCCTTCTATAATATCTTGAATGCTTCTTTCAGCCCCCTCTATTCTACAATATTGTAATGGATTCAAACCCAAGGGTCCAAGCCTATCCTGATATTCTAAGGCACTAATCCCACTTGTCGTACCAGTAGCTTTTCATGGTGCTCTTTCCAGCCTATCTACTTTTTTATAAGCATGAGGACCAAGTCTGCACATGAGGCTTGGTATAGTCTGACACAAGCTTAGGTCAACTTGTTAAAATATTGGTAAACATTGTTAGTTATTCATGTGTCATTCATTTGTTGTGCTGTGTGGACTTATTAAAGGCAGAAATCATTAATATCTTGAAATTGGAAGCAATCACAATAAACATCGACTAGTTTTGAAATGTAGTCTGTACTTAGGAGTCTTCTGTGTGGGGCTCTCTAGGCACCTGTCTTCTGTCATTGGGCTGAACAATGTTTTGGGCAGAGGCCACTCAAAAATCAATGTCCGTCTAGCTTAATGCAGGAGCGAGAAACCCTCTAACATTTAGTAATCTGACCTCCAGCCAGTTACCACTCCAACCTTTTGTGACTCAATAAACCACCATTACCAGGCATGGCAGGCACAAATGCATAGTGTCATCTATGCACTGCATTACTTTATTTAATGGCCATAGTCAACCAGGAATTATGTCATGGCTGATGGCTGTGGCTTGGGTGTGATATATCTAGGTGATGATTTTTCAACTGCTCCATGTCATTAGTTTAGTTTGATGCTGCAAATTTGCACCTCAGAGATGCCTTTTGTAATGCCATGTTGTGATGCATATATCCTCACAGTTTCTTTGTAAAATGCATTACCAATTTTAAGGTAGCTGAAGATGGTTTATTCAGTCACCGTAGTTGTAGCATTTGTGGTATTAAGGTAACCTTACTTTGAGATTGGTCATTCAAAATGCTGCTTAGTTTTACACAACTAGGTCTGAAATGTATCTTACTGAGACATTGCACTCTGCCTTGTTGCTGGTATATTCATTACATGCCATTTCCTTGCAGGAAAGGTACCACTATATTCAAGATTCAGTGAAATGGGCCACTTTCAATATTAGGAGGGTTTGAAGACTGCCTAGCACAATTTACCAACACAACCAGTTGGGAAGATGGCATTCCATGAACCTGACCAGGGAAACCTGTGTGTGGAGATAACATCCTCCACCACCACCACCAGCACCACATTCTATCATGTCCAGGTGACAGTGGATGCATGCCAGTGGCTGGTGGAGCACAGGTATTCTGCATTTGCTGACCTCAACTCACAGCTTGTCTCTGACAAGTTGATCCCACTGGACCTCCTTCCTGGCAAGAAGATAATCGGCAACCGGGAGCCAGCGTTTGTGGACCGGCGGCGCCAGGATCTGAACACATATATCAAGCGGGTGGTGGCACTGCTGCAGCTCAACATGCCAGATGTGCTGGCCAAGTTCCTCGAGCTGGAGACGTACGACATCGGCTGGATGCTACGCCGCCAGGCGTTCTTCTGCTTCGTGCACGAGGGTGCCTACGTCGGCGGCCAGCGGCAGCTGCAGATGACGCCGATGGAGGTGCAGGGGCTGACGCGGCTGGTGCGCGAGGGGCGCGCCGACTCGTTCTTCCACGAGAGCAAGCTGAGCACGGCGCCCAGCCAGGTGGTGGACGTGGCCTCGCAGACGCCCAGCCTACGCGTGGCCGGATCATGGCAGCCGCTGGCACGCTCCAACGTGCGGCCGCACACGTACGCCTTCTCGCTGGAGTTGTTCCGTTCGCTGCGCAAACTGTCACTGCACGACGTGCCCGTGTCGAGCCTGGCCTCGCTGGCAGCGCTGCGCGACCGGCTGGTGGAGCTGAGCGTCAGCGGCGGCGCCGTGCGCGACGTGCGCGACGTGCTGCTGTGCGGCGAGCTACACCGCGACGCGCCCGCCGCCGACGCGCGCCCGCTCTGGACGTGCCTGCGCCACCTGGCGCTGCGCGACAACCACATCCGCAGCGTGGACGAGACGGCGGCGGCGCTGGCGCCGCAGCTCACCTCGCTGGATGTCAGCACCAACGCCGTGGAGCACATCGGCTACCTGGCCGAGCTGCCAGCGCTGCGGCAGCTCAACCTCTCCAACAACTGCCTGGCCGACGTGCCTGACCTGCACACGCGGCTGGGCAACGTGGCGCGTCTGCGACTCTCGCAGAACCGGATCGGCTCGCTGGCGCCGTTCGCGCGCCTCTTCTCGCTCGTGCAGCTCGATCTCAGCTTCAACCAGGTGCAGGAGGTGGAAGAGGTGGGCCGGCTGCGCGGCCTGCCCTGCCTCGAGGACCTCAGCCTGGTCGGCAACCCGGTAACGACGGCCATCGACTACCGGGCGCGCGCGCTGGAGCGACTGGGGCCGCGCGCGCCGCACGTGACCCTCGACAACGAACAGAGCTCGCAGGCCCAGCTGGATCGCGTGCTGGTGATGCAGGCGCTGCGCACGGCGCGCGAGGGCGGGCCCGAGTTCCTGCGCCGCGGCTGGCACGGCCGCGTCGTCACCATCGTCTGAGCGGCCGGGCCAGGGTCGTGGGACGCCGGAGTCGGCGCGAAGGGCCTGTCTGCGGCGGTGGCCGAACACTACCGATGTCGTGCCGCCAACAAAGCCGCGCTGGGCGTGCGGACGTCGGCTGTCTGCGCTCCGCCAGTCGGTCAGCCAGGTGCAGCTGCCTGTTCCGGCTTCGGCAGCCGGTGACTGTTTCGGACGTGGTGATTGGTGCGCTTTGTACATTGGTTTTACACGTGCGCTCGCGAGGTTGCCCGGGCGATGCCCATGTATAGCCGAGTCCCGCAGAGCGCGTTGTTCCGGACCGCTAGCTTGTTAGGGCGAACCTGCCAAGCCTGCGATCGCGAGCGGTGTGAAGCTGTCTCTTCCGACAACTATGCCTTTTCGCATAGGGCTTCCGGCGTGAGGTTTTATGTTCGCCGATGATAAGGCACGCATCGTGTGAAAACTAATATTATAGGGCGTCGTCTGGTGAGATTTGAGCGCTGCCAACGCAACGTGAGCAGAAGTGGTGATCTGCAGGGATCTGGGCGTCAAATGGTCTCGACCGTCGGCGCGGCCCAATGGAGCCCGAATCATCAATCGACGTGTGTGGATCGGCTCCCTAGACCCGAATGTATCCAACTCTACACATGTGTATATCGCGTGGTGCACGGGGTGTCCCGTACTGCGCGGTCTGTCAGGCGGCATCGAGGGGGGGGGGGGGGGGGCGAGAAGGCTGCGCTGCTGGCTTCGTCCAGCGTATAGCTGGAGCATGGAGCATGTGTCTGGAGAGGGGGCGGTACGGGGTAGAAAGCTGCGCCGCTGGCTTCGTCCATTGTATAGCTGGAGCACGTGTCGAGAATTTAAAGGCTTTTGTCTTTCAGCTCCCATTCTGCATTCCGTCACGGTAGCCGATCCCAAACTGTGCATGGCCTTGTCATGTGGCTGTTGGCATTAAAAGCGAATATACATATCAGTGACCCGTACACCATTCCGGTCGTCAGAAGTGTGGTGGACGCTGTAGAGAAGTGAGGCGGAATGGCTATGGATAAGTTGGCGGACTGGCTATAGAGAAGTTGGTGGACTGACTGTAGAGAAGTGAGGCGGACTGGCTGTAGAGAAGTGGGCGTACTGGCAGCAGAGATCTCTGTTTACAATCTCGATTGTGTCCATACAAGGCACGCTCGCGGCAACCGCGCCTCTGAGGTGCGTTTGGGAGTGCGCACGACGATGGGCGCCGCTCAATACAAACGCATGCCCTTCAAGTGTCTCCACACTTGACATGAACATACCGTGTCCCACTTCCGCGAAACGCAGCTCGCATCAGCTGCGTGTCGACCAGGGGCAGACTTAGATAGGTATACTGCTATCTGCCACCCAGAACAGTGACGCCTCGAGCCACGCACAGGCGTGGTACGAGGCGGGAAAGCCGCCCCTCGGTGCTGTCCTGGCGGCGACGCCAGCGTGGATGGCCCCGCCACGACCTCACTACTGTCAAACGATGGTGTAGGGGCATTGTACCGGTCTTCGAGTTGGTGACGGGACATTGTACCGGTCTTCAAGTTGGTGGGGGACGTTGTACCGGTCTTCGAGGTCGTGACGGGATATTGTGCCGGTCTTCAAGCTGGTGGCAAGGCATTCTACCGGTCTTAGAGCTGGTGACGAGACATTCTGCCGGTCTTTGAGCTGGTGACGAGACATTGTACCGGTCTCCGACATCCAGAGCCGTCACCTGCTCTCTCAGACATCCAGAGCCGTCACCTGCTCTCTCAGACATCCAGGGCCGTCACCTGCTCTCTCAGACATCCAGAGCCGTCGCCTGCTCTCTCAGACATCCAGAGCTGTCAGCTGCTCTCACCAATCGAGACCGCTCCGCGCCAGAGACAATGCACGGCGGCAGAGCCGTGAATGCACGAAACAATGGCGGGGATGACGGGCATTCGCTTCAGCCAAAGGCTCGTCTCTCCAGTCCATCGCTATAGGACCCCTATTGTTGGATTAGGTGCTTTAGGCACAGGTCCCACTCAGGTGCATCAATTCCACGATTTCGCGCCTCGGACGACATCCTGGATACGTCACTGGCTGAAATTGATTTCCTGCGTGGTATCGCGACATATGAGGCGGAATTGTCAGTTGCGCAAAATGAAGACACATCGTACGGGACCACTACTCACTTTTTAGTCGGGTTTGACGTAAATAACATCTCATGCAGTTCTTCGCGTGCTGTTTAGCGTTGTTTATATTGCGTAAGAACCATGCTCAGAACATGAGAACGGAATGGGCTTACGCACCCGCGGGTTGACCCACATGACCCGATCGGACATTACATAGGAGATATGCACTTATGAATTACTATCATGATATGATCCGATGTAGAGGACTGCACAAAACTGCGCTTCCCAGGGTCGTAGATCGCGTGCTTCTGTGGATAAAATGAGAACTGAACTCGCCGACGTGACCCCGGTGACCTGGCTTTACTCATCGTTAAGTCAAGCATCTGCATCTATGGGCAGCATACCGGCATGCAATGAAGCTAGCCAGATGTCTGTTTGTAGCTGCTATGTCGTAGCCTGGTTTCACAGCTACTATGTCGGGTTAGCTTCGATCAACGCACGATACGTCCGATTAATTGTCCTACGGCGCCAGCAGCCCGAGGAGAGGTGCTGTTGTTGTTATTTGGAGTTTTAGGGCGCGTCGACTACTGTGATCATTTTGCGCCCGAGGAGAGGCGCGCGCCGTTCCCTCACGTAGACGGCACCCGGGCTGCCGCGCGCCATAGTCTACCCGCTGGTGCCCTGCGCCGACGACATCAGTCACAGTTACTGACGTGATCGGCACTCGTCCATTGCCCAGCTACTGATCGATATACCGCGGGGACATCCGAACCATAAGTGGTCTTGCAGAGTAGCAGCACGCATGCATCATTAGCCCAGTCTGCATTCTTTGACTGCCACGAAGCGGCACCAGATCATACCAATATATTGCTTACATGGGTACCACTATCACCGTCATCGTATTCCGGGCACGAGCATAACATGCTTCGCGCAATCCACCAAACTGCAATCAGAGTTACGCGTGAGCCTCTCGGACTCACCATCCCCCACCTCGAGGTCACCAAAGGTCACGGGTGACAAAGGTCAAGCTCGTATACAAGCACCACGACGGTTCCACTGAGGCATGCTGGGTACACGTGGTCCTTTGGTACACCAGGAAGCCGCGAAGGCCAGTGATCGACTGATCCTACCACTACCTCACTAACCGAACAGAATCGGCTGATCTACGACAGGTATTGAGCCTAACCTATCGTTTTGGTTCCGCATGGTCTGTCACTGACACTGGAAACATCGCCGGCAGCACAGCATTGCACATAGCGAGTCATGTTGCTCCTGGGCACGTTACGAACTTTAACAAGTTATCGCGTAACAAATCACCACCGCATTCACTCTCACGAACCCGATGTGGACAGTAATCGACACTAATCGACCGATGCTATCCGGTAGCCGTTTACCTACACCACGGCCCTGTCCCGTTAATAAAGGCACTTTACAACGCTGGCCACCACCCAGCATCTGACCACTACCCACAGGCCGGCCCGCCCCACCGTCCAGCGTCTCACGGCTGAGGTGGTGCTGGCCCGAGCCGACCGCCACCGGCGTTCGGGCGTCCGCCGTCGCGACGAGTGCGGGGCGGCAGCGGCTCCTCCCCCCGCTAAAGGCGCGCGCGCATCGGCTGGATGCTCTGGTGGAAGGCGCGCGGCACCTCGGTGCTGTTCAGGGGGCTGTGGCTCGCCTCGTCGAACATCCTACCGGCGAGAGAGGCGCACGGTCAGCGGGGAAGGCGCACGGTTAGCGGGGGAGGCGCACGGTCAGTGGGGAGGCGCCCGGTCAGAGGGGAAGACACCCGGTCGGCGGGGGAGGCGCCCCGTCAGCGGGAGAGGCGCACGGTCAGCGGGGGAGGTGCCCAGTCAGCGCGGGAGGCGCACGGTCAGCGACCAACCGGCGGCTGGCGGCGGCTCCCAGCCCGCCGTACACTCCATCGCCGAAGGCATCGAGCCCTTAAACCGTGGCAGCATACTCACGCTGTAGATCAGGACTGCGTAATATGTATCACAGTTGGTGTGTGCAAACAGGTCCATAGGTAGATGTGCATGTTCACAAGAGTCCAAAGATATTGTTGTCTTCCGCCCCGTTACATTCTGATCGTACATGAATGTTCGATAGGACCTGTAGCGCTGACAGCGACTGGAAATAAATAACTGTGAATTGATCCACGCGTACTCAAGGTGCGGCTTCAGTCTCAACCCAGAGGCTACCATTCCCAGCACCAGACGTGGCCGTCCCCTGTTCACCGCACGTTCCGGTCCCTGGTCACCAGGCGCGTCCGTCCCCTGTTCACCACACGTCCCGGTCCCTGGTCACCAGCCGTGGCCGTCCCTGATCCCGCCCCTCACCAGGCGAGATCGATCGCTGCCCGCCTCCGCGGCGACCTCTGCCGCCGCGTGCACACCTGCGATACACGTCGCCGTCCCAGGCGCCGAGCGTGGAGCGGACGAGCTGGTCGGGCAGGTCGAAGGCGTCCGTCAGCGGCACCAGGTGCGGCCGCAGCTCGGTCAGCAGGCCCAGCAGCCGGTCGCGGTTCAGGCGCACGTCCGAGGCCGTCAGACCGCCGTACTGCCGACCAGGGGCGCCGCGAGACACGGTCAGCGCCGCCGGACACCGGTGACGGAAGCGAGCCAGGGCGCCAGCCGACGTGTTCACCAGGCGCAGACACCAGGGCTTGGAACCATATGTCATGTCAGGCTTGTCCCCAGATATCTAGCGCTGACTCCATGCACAAACTGACTTCACGCCAAAGATATCAGACAGGAGCCATATCGAAACATCCACAGCTCAGCAGCACACGATGGCGCAGCTGAACAAAACATCTGAAGATCCCGCCGACAGCGGGGCAGCCATCATGCGGAGCCCTGCTCCGCTCCCCAAGAGGCCTGTCGTCCGACCACACGACACGCAGCCGCACCCAAGGCTCGCACCGTGACGCACCCCCGAACGTGGCGCGGGCAGAGCCGCGGAGCAAGGCGCCCTCACCGTGATGAAGTCGCCCTCGCTCCTGCTGACGAAGTAGGCCACGTACAACCGACAGACGAGCTGAAGCACCTGCTCAATGGCCCGGCTGGTGCTCTCCGCCGCCACCACCTCCACGAACGTGCTCACCACGAAGAAGCGGCAGTGGGCCTGCGGTCGGCAGCATGACATGAGTGTCCGAACGTGTCCACTCTGGCAGCGGGCCTCGGCTTGCAGGTGAGGTGACCACGCGACAGGCGCACCGAGTGAGTCGTCACCGGGCTCACGAGTCGCTGATACTGACACGCTCAGTTGTAGCTCCCCGCCCTCCCAGCCTTCAGTCCAAGCCCGCGGTGGTGGTGCGTCGTTACAACACATATATAATTTAGGAAGCAACGTCACAGTCTGCATCACGACACTTCGAGCGGCGCGTGTCGTCCACGTTCATGACCGCAGGCCCATCTCCATCCGCCGGGTCGCTAGGGCGGAAGCCGCCGCGGCCGCTGCCCCGCCCGCCGCCCTCACTCACCAGGGCCGTCTCGACCAGCAGCACGAGCGATTCATTCCAGGCGGCAGCCTCGCCGAGCCGTTGCCGATCCGCGCGCAGCCGCGCCGCCACCTCCGCCACGCGGCCGCGCGCCACGCGACTGAAGGCGGCCACGTAGGCGGCCACCGAGCCGACCGAGAAGGGCGTGTCGTCGGCAGGCCGGCTAAGGTAGGCCACCGAGCTGCCCGGCGTCGGCGCCGCGCCGCCGCCCACCTGCTTCACCAGGTACCTGTCCGCCGGGGCAGCAACCGTGACACAATATCGACGGCTTCATACAGCTGCATACTACCGACGAACAGGAGCTAGCGCTAGACCAGTGACAACTTCGTCAGGCCCCTACTTGCCGCCGGGAGAGGGCGGTCACAGAGCCGACTACGAGTGCTGGCTTCACAGCGGTACCACAACTACATTACTGATCATTATGCCCATGACGGACCAGTGCTAACGCCTGTCGCGCACCTGTGCCTGAGCGGGCCACTTCGTAACGTGAACCGCGTCAGTTGGGCGACGCCGTCTCTCGGGCTCCTGCGCTCATCATCGGCAGCAGGACAGCGCAGGGTCAGCCGCCCCGGCCCTCAGCTGACCTGGCCGTCTGCAGGAGCAGCACGGTGTTCTCGCCCTCGTACGTAACGCCGGCCGTGGCGTACGCGTACAGCGCCGGGAAGCGTGACGACTCCATGTAGCCGTGGCCCCCGCACGCCAGCCGCAGCGCCTCGATGGCGGCGCTGCAGTCGCGCGTCACCAGCGCCTTCAGACAGCAGGCGGTGGCGTGCAGCTGGGCGCCGCCAGCGGCAGCGGGAGTTAGTCACGCGCCGACACTGGATGACGTGCGCCGTCCCGAGGTTGGCGCACACGCACCGGCCGACGGACGCACCGCAGCCGCTACAGCGTTTCGATAAGTGGCAGCGGACATCGGTTGGACACTGGGCGTGGGTAGGACGTGCGATCGGTCACTGGGGGTTTACGACGCACACAGCTGCTGAGGCTGTATGGTGTCACCAGCCTCTCACTCTGGCGAGAAGGGCGGACACCGCAGGGAACCGAGCCCAGGTACCTCTGGTTTGCCAGACGCGATCAGGCAAGCGATCAAAGTGCGGTTGGAATCAGGTCGGCGAGCTCACAAGCACTCGTAAACAGGCTGAAAGCAAAACTTTCATAAGAGGGCGGCATGAACCCGAGGTGTGAGGCGCGTCGTACGGAAGCGTCAGATCCGATACCAAATTAATAACTTAATAGGTGGAATGGGCACACTTATTCGGAAAGTGCACATGAGGCATGATGCCATAATCACAATCCACGCAAGCATCACAACTCACCCAAGACAACGGAAGGCTATTTAAGTCAGGTCATGAAACCCCACGGAGCAGCCTCAGAGAAAGTGGACAATAATGATCCCGCTCACGACAGGGTTGTTGGCTTGAGCCAGAGAAGGCGAGGCAGGCAGAGCGCAGGCAGGTCAGTGCCTACCTCCGGCAGCTGGGCCATGTCGCCACCGCGAACCTCGCTGGTCACGTGCGTGTGCGACTCCCAGAGCCGGTTGGCGGCGGCACGCAGCACGTAGCAGCTGGCCAGCTGCGGCAGCACCTTCAGCTGCTGCGTCTGGTAGTCGATGATCTGGGGCTCGCGGCCACTGAAGGCGGAGGCAGGCACGGCGCCGTCAGCCCGACGGACACAGCGATCGTCCTGCCAGTCTCTCGGTACAACGCCCAACTGTCGTGCGACAGCACTGCTCAACCGTGCAGAGGAATTTCACGTGTCATTCACCGAACGTATGTGCTGTGCGGCACGCGGCGCCGGCGGCCCGCCCCAGCACCGACTGGGACGGCCCACCGACCGTCCGCGTCTCTCCGCGGCGACTCACTCTGCCAGGGGCTCGCCCTGGCGGCGGACGACGCTGTAGCGGGCGGCGATGGTGCAGCCGATCTGCAGCGCGTCCACCGTGTCCAGCGCTATGGCCACGCGCGTGAACACCATCGTGCCGTAGCTCAGCTTGCTGTGCGGCGGCTTGGTGTACGAGCCGTCCTGCGGGACCGGTCGGCTGTCAGTGCGGCGCCGTACGGCTGGCGGATCTGGCGCCGCGGCGCCAGAGCGGCGAGCGCGAGACGCCCGCGCCGGGCACAGTCAGGCAGCAGGACGTCAGGTGATAGACGCCTCCTGATCGCCGGCGGCTCCGCGCGAGAAGCGGCACCCAAATGGCGCCAGTGATGACACGAAACACGTCATAATTTGCCATGGAGATGGTCTGGCTGTGGGCATACATGCGATCGCAACCACCACGTTCTGTTCACCTCGTGCACCCGTGCGTTTCTCATCAGCATGTTGTTCAGCGGCACTTTAACGTGGTCAAACAGCAGGTACCCGTTGTTGAGGGTGTTCTGTCCCAGCTTGGGGCCAATCTCGCCCACAGTTATGCCTGGAACAGAAAGAAATTATACATGCCGAACTATTTACGGAAAACATTCAGTGGTTGCCATACATGTTGACTGATCACCCAGCCCACCACATCGCTCTCGTATGCTAAGAGTTGATAAAAGAGTACGGGAAAAACTGATACGGTCAGCTCGCACTGCGCATCCCGGGCCCATGGGCAGCGGCCGGTCCGTCCACGGACCCCGGTCACGGCAGCGGCCGCGAACCAAATGCCGCCGCGAACCTGTGGCCCACCGGACAGCGGCCGGTTTGCCCGCCTCACTGTGCCTCGGCCATTCCTGCGCCTCCCTGCCTCACGGAGGGTGGTCCTCACCCCTCCTGTGCTCACTGGGCGAACGATGCGCCGCCGCGACCCCTGTGCCTACCGGCAGCGCCGGTTCCGTGCCGCGACCCATGTGCCTCCCAGGTTGCCCGCGACCCTGTGGACCGACAGCGACCGATTCCGTGCCGCCGACCCCCCTCCCACGCCTCCGTGCGCTCACCGGGGCAGCGGCCGGTTCCGTGCCGCCGCGACCCCTGTGGCCTCACCGGACAGCGGCCGGTTTCGTGCCGCCGCGCCTCCCTGTGGCCTCACCGGGCAGCGGCCGGTGAGTGTCGATATCACGCAGCTCCACCATGAACGGGTGGATGCCGCGCGCCTGGCCACCCGTGTGCAGCTGCGCCATAACCACGGCGAAGTTGGCGCTGGTGCCCAGGCCGCCCGGCCACCACTTCGCTGCGCTCACGTCCGGCGTGTGGAGGTCGAACGTACGCGACGCCGGGTCGTAGGTGGCCGTGGTGCGCAGACCGCGCACGAATGTGCCGTGGCTTAGCTCCGTCTGCCGTGGAGCGCGCAACGACTGGCGTCAGGGTGCAAGCGGGGTGGGGACTGGGGTGCGCCGCCTCGGTGCGACCCCCGGACCGGTGTCAGGGTGCAGCCCACGGACCGGTGTCAGGGTGCAGCCTACGGACCGGTGTCATGCGTGTGCGCCGCTGGACCGGTGCCACATCGTTCCGGACTGCAACTCAGCCTTGGTGCAATCCTATACTGGGGTCCGCTCCAGTAAAACGCTTAACACACCACGCATGTTGTCCATCATCAGTACTGAGTACGGAAACACAGAAATATAGGTCACTATATAGGTCACTATAGGTATACTAACTTCGAATCACACATTAAAGCTCTTAATCATGTACAACTCATAAACCACGGCATCTTGACGGCCACAAATACGGCGTGTAACATATCACAGTCGGTCCTGCCCCGACGCAGCCTCACATCGAAACGAGCAAGACACGCCCGCCGCTCCAAACGTCGACACTGAACGACAGTACCGCCGCGGCCTCGCCGCGGACAGTGCAGATAGGTGCCTGACCTGGGCGTACGTGCCGATGATCCTGCCGTTGTACACGTCGCCCAGCCAGCGGAACATCTGTTCGTCGTCGGCCTGGTTCATCAGGGTCGGGATGAACATCACCTGGTGCACGGCGATCGGGTTGCCGTCCGGGGTGGTGAAGCCGGCAACGGTGTGGCTCAGCACCTTGCTGTTGACCAGAGGCCAAACACACGGCGCCCAGGTCAGGTCAGAGGGCAGCGGCCACCAGTTAGCGGCCACGTGTTGTACATGGACGGGCGACTGACACAGTTCAAACGCAGGTGCCAGTAAGACAGGTCATAGACCACGAATGGGAGGGGGGAGGGTTACATATCACAGATAAGCAAATCCAGAGATCGGATAAAGAGGTCGGCGACAGACGTTACGTACAGAAGTCAGACACAACGGTCAATGGCCAGCAGAACGGATTAGAAACAAAGATCGAAGGCAGATACCGAAGGAGTTAAATTGTCAGAAGTCAAGTGTGCAGGATACACAACGGTGTTCAGCACTCTTCTGCAATTCGAAGCCAAAAAGGCCCCAGCGACATCAGGTTACGTGCTCTGGAGAACCAGCTTAGATTTCGGCTGAATCAGACACGCTGATATGCCTGTAAAAAGAAAGTTGGACATACTGTGAACACAAATTTTCTCTTTTTTGGAATTCGCATAGCAAGGTGCAGTTCTCCGAGCTGCATCGAGTGATACCAATAACTCTATCTCCCAAAAATGGAGCTTAGACCTATTGCCTTTGGACGACAGTGCTATCTTTTTCTTCCCTAATTCATTTCGAAGGGTTTGCACGGGTGGCTCTGGGTTTCGCGTACCCTGCGGGCTGAGCAAGTATAGGTTGGATGTATCTCTTCGTGATGAAATTAGTGCTATCTTTTCAAACTATATTTAGGTGTTCCAATGTGCCTTGGTATGAAGTGCTATGACGTGGCTTTGATTTTCTGCTTCAAGTTTCAAAATTCGATAACAAAATTGGTTCCTGAGGTCCATTTTGTCTTTTCCTGTGTTTGCGTCCTGCTCCGCCGTGTCAGTGTAATGGCTGCTGAAAACGATTCCCCGGCTTCGCTTTCAATCGGGGCATGGTTTGCACTTATATCAACTCATGTCACGTGAAGTCAGCATTGCTGAGAAGACATTACAGGTTATAGGGTGGTGTTGCACCATCCTAAGCAAACGTTCATGGAGTGGTGTTGCGCCAATTTATGGCCCAGACAGCGGGCAGAGTTCGAAATGATGACGCCAATGTCATGTAGACGAATGTCCTATGCCCCCGATCAGGCCTCCTGCACCTGATCTCGTTGACATCCATGCCCTCCTCGCTGATGAGCTCCAACACCGCTGTAGCGCGCGCCAGGTTGTAGTTGTACTTGTCTTCATGGCTCATGTACGCTGTAGCCTTCGTGTCGCGCAGGGACGGGTGGTTCAATATTTTGGACCCTGTTGAAGCGACGGATGAAAACTGAGCCCTGGCGTCAGCACGAGGGGTGTTACAAAAGTTACAACATACGGTTGGACAACACATTACACGATAACATATTCAGCATGCACGCAAATACGGATTCCGACCAACAATGCGGATGAAGCTTAATGCCTGAAAACACAATCGTATCAAATGAACAAAAAGAAACTCACCTACAAAATCTGCAATGGTCATTACTTCAACTGCAATTCATTTTTACAAGGTAGCACTGCTAAATCATGTGTGAACTTACAGATTTTTCCGTTTCACTTGGGTTTTGTCCTGTCCACCATCAATAAAATTGGTCATCTCTTCCACGTCAAACGCCGGAGAGGCCCTCTCGATAGTGAGATCTGGATTCTGCCATGCTTCGCTCGAACCTTTTGATGACATCGTTTTGAGGTTTTGCAAAAGCTGCCTGGAAATACGGAACCATGAGGCAAGCACGCTATCTCAACAGAATATGGGTATCAGGCGCTCACATAACTAGTCATGTAACATGTCATTGCGTATTTTGCACCTCATCAACAGGTCCAGATTTTCCCAAGCGAGCAGCAGAGCAGGGAATAACCTCATTGAGCTGGATCATTCTTATCCTGCTCAGTCGCTGCCATCCATTTGATAAGGCGACGCATATCACTCGATTTATATGTTTTCACTTCTTAATCTGACTCGGGGCATTGTGTTGGTAGGGAAACATGTTACCAGCACGGTGATCACTGCCGGCATTACCAGTATTCTACATGGTGTACATCTGGGTCCACACATGTCATATGCAAGGCATTTTTGTTTTTTTTAACCGGTGGTGTATTGTAAGGCATCGTAGTGCTTGACCTGCTCCCGTTCCAAAGTACACATGGCATTTACTGCAGCCGCCAGCAGCTTTTGGGGCTATTGCGTAGGAACATGCGAAATACACACTTCCTAATGGGGAATGGAATGCCCTATGTTCCCATCACAGTCCAAGGGCAGCGAATGGAAGTTTGATATTTTTCATTTCGATCGTCCTCGTATGCCTATGTGCATACGGATATCACTAAGAGATATATGAGAAATATATCATATGGTATAATCGGACATATTTTTTACACGCGCCCAGGAGGAGGGTCAGTTCGACTCCCAGAGAGTTCTTTCCGAAACCATGTACATGCAGCGTCGCACAGCGGGGCAAAACTTTGCATAGCTGTAAGCAGTTGAACAGCCAAGCCAGTCTTTTACTTCACAAAACTAGATGTGTCTTGTAACCTCTCGGACCTTGGATGACAGGTCAAAGTCACGCCATAGCTGTCAGCCAAGGCAATTCCTTGGTATTACCTAAGGAATCGTACAATATGATGCAAAAACGTAGTATTATACGAAGTCATACAACCTCTAGATGGCTTCCCAGGCAATCAAAATATTGAAATCTGGAATACGACCAATTTCCATGACTGTGGGTTAACCGCTCCAGCAATTAGTTTTTGTACAACACTGAATGAGATACTCTCATTCAATGTTGTACAGCAGTACAACATTGAGTGAAAGATAATTGACACCCGTTATATCTCGAAATCGTGCTCACGAACGCCAGATATGAACAACTTGACCATGACATTTTTCCCGACCCTATTCATCGTATGGCTTATGAAATGGCAGGATTTAAGTAACGTTATTACGACGTCATGAATGCCAAGATGACCTTGGAATACTCTCCCCACTTTCGCGGGCGTGTAGCTCAGAAACTAGAGGTGTTAAGGTCTCCAGAAGGACAGGGCTGTGAACTGCACCGAAAGGTACTCAAGATGGCTAGTTCAGTTCAAAACCCTATATAAATGTGGAACACTCCCTTTAAGGTTAGTCCCATAAGACCTGGAGGGGGATTCAGACATCACTTTAGAGTTTGACCTAGTTTGACCTCATTTAACTCAAAGATCATGACCTATGGACCATACAACTTGATAAAAATGCGTTAACATGCAGACCAACCCAGTCTGAAGTGTCACTTACTACCTCACTTTTTGAGCTTGTCAGAACGTTACTAAATCCGGAAGGGTAAAAAAATCAGACTCAAGTTTGATGACATTCACACTCATGAGATGACATGAGGTTCACAGGACGTAGGTTCGCATGAAGCTTCATAGGATTGAGGCTGGAATCACGTGACCTTCGCGGTGGCACCAGCATGCCAACGTGCCAAAAAAAACTGAGCCAATTTTAGCCTACAGAAACATAAGGAGCTCCGCACCAACGTTGCACAGATCTGACTGGACGTCGCCTGGCCAGGACGGACCGGTCATCTCTAATAGATGCAATGACCCGAACACATGCTTTGTATGCGGAAAGAGCATATCACTTCTGAGAACTACAACCTGCCCACCCATGTTCTAGTTTGATTTCCCTAACAAGTCAGGTGTGAAGCTGCAAGCAATGCACACAATCACCTAAAATGGTCTAAGATTTAGTACATTTCCACCAGCAAGCTTCAACAAGTTTCCATGCCTGGCTTTTTGTCATGTTGTTCCAAATGTCTTGGACAGATGGCAACAAATGTCTTTGGATGGGTGGCAGCAGGCTTAGAGAAAATATTGTAGACAATAGACAGAGCATCTCACTATATCACCCAGGTAGTGCAGTTGGGGTCTAATGGACAACTTATACTCACTATATCACAGTCACACATAATTACACAGGGATATTTTGAGTATTGCAGTATGTCAGGCCTGCATACACCAGGTTTCTCTTCTCTCTCCATTTGATAGCTGCATTGTATGCAGGAAAGTTAATGAATTACTGGTACTGCATCCTATATTTGTAGTCACTGGATTACCTGAAAAGCTACTGATGGAATGATTCCATCTGCACAAATTCCGAACAATAATTCCTACATGCATTATTCCAATAAAAATGTTGTGATGATTCATGTTGGATGCATTCCCAGCTTAGACATGTGAAAAAGACCAGGCTTTTGGATTTCTTCCTGGCATGATAGCAATAAATGACATAAATGGTGGAATGGTGCTAATGACATGACACTAATTACTGGCATCATGTAGGTCCCTCTGGTAGGTGCTCTCAATGCTAGGTCTTGCTCTCACCAACCTCAGGTACTGAAACCAAAATAATTTAGCCACCATGTGAACCAACTGGCAAACCCTACAAAACTCAACTTTGTAAAGGTCCTTGCCAGTTGATCTCTCTGTATAGCCTTGATGCATCAGTAAGGTGCAATAAAAATGAAAGAATGACATTTGACCAGCATCTACAGTCATTGTCACAATTACTATGTTTTTAGGGTAGTGACAAAATTTTGCTAAAATTTTCATTTTATGATAACTAAGGGTATTTGATACTTTCAAAATGCCAACTGGTGAACAACTTAATATCTCTACACAGGGTACCCATGTGAAAAATGACCACCACTTCCTTTCAAAATATAGTGTATATGAAGTCGC